GAGGGCAACAACAAATGTCAAAAGCCTCACACACTCTTGATCAAGATAGTGTGAAGCAAAATCAATTCATGGTGCCCAACAAAGCTTTAACCTCAAAGCTTTACCGACAAAGTTTCAACACAGAAGCTTCACCACAAGAGCTTCAACAAATGGAGGGCAACAACAAATGTCAAAAGCCTCACACACTCTTGATCAAGATAGTGTGAAGCAAAATCAATTTATGGTGCCAACAAAAGCTTCAACAAGTGAAGGGCAACAACAATTCTCAAAAGCTTCACACACTCTTGATTAAGATAAGTGTGATGCAAAATCAATTTATGGTTCACTTACAAAGTTTCAACACAAAAGCTTCACCTACAAAGATTCAATACAAAAGCTTCACCACAAGAGCTTCAACAAATGGAGGGCAACAACAAATGTCAAAAGCCTCACACACTCTGGATCAAGATAATGTGAAGCAAAATCAATTTATGGTGCCAACAAAAGCTTCAACAAGTGAAGGGCAACAACAATTCTCAAAAGCTTCACACACTCTTGATCAAGATAGTGTGAAGCAAAATCAATTTATGGTGCCCAACAAAGCTTCAACACAAAAGCTTCACCTACAAAGTTTCAACACAAAAGCTTCACCTACAAACCTTCAACACAAAAGCTTCACCTACAAAGCCTCAACACAAAAGCTTCACCTACAAAGCTTCATTAATGGAGAGCAACTACAATTCTCAAAAACTTCAAACACTCTTGATCAAGATAATGTGAAGCAAAATCAAGTTATGGTGCCCAACAAAGCTTCAATACAAAAGCTTCAACACAAAAGCTTCACCTACAAAGCCTCAACACAAAAGCTTCACCTACAACGCCTCAACACAAAAGCTTAACCTACAAAGCCTTAACACAAAAGCTTCACCTACAAAGCTTCACCTACAAGCTTCAACACAAAACCTTCAACACCAAAGCTTCAACACAAAAGCTTCAACACCAAAGCTTCACCCACAAAGCTTCAACACAAAAGCTTCAACACAAAAGCTTCACCCATTTAAAAAAAATAAAAAAATAAAAAAATAAAAAAGAAAGAAAGAAAGAAAGAAATGAGCCTAGCCTCCCCTTCTTTGGGCCTAACAACTTTCATACCAAATATATATGAAGGAGGAATTTTGAGCAACCACTTAGAAAGGAAAATGGTGAAGTTTTGTTTGGAAAATTGCCTACTAGCAAGACACCTCCCTCGTCAACTCTCTCGACCGGAGACTTAGGGGACTCCTACCATATACCATTACACCTTGGTACTCAGAAATTTCGTGACTACTCAGTGCCTTGGATTTTTCAAGTCCCCAACCGAGAAGTTTTCTTCACTCAAGAAATTAAGGGAGCATTACTTCAACTTACAGGGTCCACCCACGAAGTTTCAACATGCAAACTTCAACAAAATAAAAAATCTAGGCTCGGCATCATTGCTCTAATTGAAGAGATCAAGAAGCCTCAACAGCCATTTGCCAACACTGTTGTCGAAGAACAAAGCTTCGTCATACCACATTTACTACTTTTTCAAACAGCAAAAGTATCCCATATCATCAGCATCGAACATACTCTAGGTTTGACGGACTGGTTTTGACCCTCAAATTCTGGAGTCCGCTCAGTCATTTGGAGGAAACCAGAAAACCCTCCAGCCCAGTTCAAGAATACACCTGTGGAAAGTCAAGTACAACAAAGCATGTGCCGATTCGTCCATCTTCTCCAAAAACAAGAATACCTCATATCATATCTTCTCCCTGTTTCTTCTCTTTATCCTTGTTGCTGAATGAGAGACAGGGAGAATGAGTACAATCAGCCGGAACCCAAGATCAACTTACTGATCTGAGACTGATTGCTTACCTTGCCTGTCACCTCATTCGGCAGATCTCCTCACTTAGAGACTTGGGGGACTCCTACTATATGGTTTATATCGCACTTGACCAAACCCGAAACTACAAGTAAGCTTCAAATGAAAATGATACATTACCTTGTGCGTCAACGCCAACTAAAGATACCACTCATGGATGAAGGAAAAGTACTTCCAAGAGAAGATGCCACATCTACTTACAGGACAGAGAAGGCAAATGAAGGCGACACCACACTTCGGTACTTGGAAGTTTCGTGATTACTCAATGGCTTGGATTTTGCAAGTCCCCAACCGAGGAGCTTCCCTCACTTGGGAACTTAGGGGAGCACTGTTTGTACCATACTTGACCAATCCCGAAATTACTAAGCACCGGTCAACAGCATACCGTCAAGGACCCACAAGACTTTTCCTTCAACCAGGAGGCCAATCACAACATGACACATGTCGGTATCAGAAGCCAATCACAGTGCGACACATGTCGATATCAGAGGCCAATCACAACACGACACGTGTCAATGTCACAACAAAACTAGAAACTCTCTTCTATAAAAGGGGATCATTCTCCCACAATAATCCCAAATGTCATTGGTACTAAACTATTCACTATAACTCACTAAAAGAGAGCTTGAACCTATGTATTTGTGTAAACCCTTCACAACTAATGAAAACTCCTCTACTCCGTGGATGTAGCCAATCTGGGTGAACCACGTACATCTTGTGTTGTTTGCTTCCCTATCTCTACTCATTTACATATTTATCCACACTAATGACCAGAGAAATCTAGCGAATGTCACAAACTTGATACTTTCTGTTGTACCAAAGTCATCGCCGATTTTGTGCATCAACACATGGCACTCAAGGTAATGAGAAAGTACACCAAGTCATGAATTCTTCAAATTCACAAGTCATCTCATAAGAAGACATTGAACATGGATCTAAAGATCAAGTTGACAATGCATAACCATCACAGTCAACCCCAGGTGTATGAAAAAATCCCTCTTGGGTAAGAAAACCTCCAACAAGGCTTTTGTACTATGTCACTCATGCCTCAAGGTATCCTATCACTGATGCCCCACAATACTTGAAGTATACAACTTCTCACCGTGCCTTTCTCAATGAAGTCTCTAAGATTGTTGAACCAAGAACATTTCAAGAAGCTTATTCCTTGCCACATTTGAAACTCACTATGGTTGAAGAGCTCAATGCATTGGAAGAAAATAACACTTGGAGCATTATCAAGTTGCCTCTAGGAAAGAAGGCTGTTGGAAGTAGGTGGGTTTACAAAACAAAGCTCAAGGTGAACGGTTCAATAGAGAGACACAAAGCTAGACTTGTGGCTCGTGGTTTCACTCAGACATTCGAGGTTGTTTGCAAGGAAACCTTTGCCCCAATGGCTAAGATGAACACTGTTAGGGTATTGCTCTCTATTATAGTCAATTGTGGTTGGTCTTTGTACCAAATGGATGTTAAAAACGCTTTTTTTCATGGGGAACTTCAAGAAGAAGTCTACATGCAGCCTCTACCAGGTTATATTCAGGTGGAAAAAGGAATGGTTTGTAAGCTACACAAGGTGATGTGACATCCCACATCGCCCAGGGGAGTGATCCTTATATGTATATTCCCATCCCTACCTAGCACGAGGCCTTTTGGGATCTCACTGGCTTCGGGTTCCATGGGAACTTCGAAGTTAAGCTAGTAGCGCGCGAGAGCACTCCTATGATGGGTGACCCATTGGGAAGTTGCTCGTGATTTCCCAAAAACAAAACCGTGAGGGAATGGTAAGCACAAAGCGGACAATATCGTGCTACGGTAGTGGAGTCAGGCCCGGGAAGTGGTCCCGTCCGGGTCAGGATATGACAAATTGGTATCAGAGCCTAACCCTGGTCGCGTGTGTGTCGATGATGACGTCGGACCCCTAAGGGGGGTGGATTGTGACATCCCACATCGCCCAGGGGAGTGATCCTTATATGTATATTCCCATCCCTACCTAGCACGAGGCCTTTTGGGAGCTCACTGGCTTCGGGTTCCATGGGAACTTCGAAGTTAAGCGAGTAGCGCGTGAGAGCACTCCCATGATGGGTGACCCACTGGGAAGTTGCTCGTGAGTTCCCAAAAACAAAACCGTGAGGGAATGGTAAGCCCAAAGCGGACAATATCGTGCTACGGTAGTAGACTCGGGCCCGGGAAGTGGTCCCGCCCAGGCCAGGATGTGACAATTCTATTGTGACATCCCACATCGCCCAGGGGATCCTTAAATGTATATTCCAATCTCTACCTAGCACGAGGCTGGGAGCTCATTGGCTTCGAGTTCCATCGGAACTCCGAAGTTAAGCGAGAAGGGGGCTAGAGCAATCCCATGATGGGTGACCCACTGGGAAGTTGCTCGTGAGTTTCCAAAAACAAAACCGTGAGGGAATGGTAAGCCCAAAGCGGACAATATAGTGCTACGGTGGTGGAGCAGGCCCGAGAAGTGATCTACCCCTGGCTGGCATGTAACAATTTGGTATCAGAGCCTAACCCTGGTCGCGTGTGTGCCGACGAGGACGTCGGGCCCCTAAGGAGGGTGGATTGTGACATCCCACATCGCCCAGGGGAGTGATCCTTAAATGTATATTCCAATCGCTACCTAGCACGAGGCCTTTTGGGAGCTCACTGGCTTCGAGTTCCATCGGAACTCCGAAGTTAAGCGAGAATGGGGCTAAAGCAATCCCATGATGGGTGACCCACTGGGAAGTTGCTCGTGAGTTTCCAAAAACAAAACCGTGAGGGAATGGTAAGCCCAAAGCGAACAATATCGTGCTACGGTAGTGGAGCAGGCCCGAGAAGTGATCCGCCTCGGGCTGGGATGTGACAGGCGATCTATGGATTAAAGCAATCTCTGAGGGCATGGTATGCTAAGCTAAGTTCTGTCTCAGAGAGGGCAGGATTCATAAGAAGCAATGTCGATTCTTCCTCATTCATTCGAAATGGCTCTAGTGGTAAACTTGTGATTTTTATTTATGCCAATGATCTGATCATCACTGGCGACAATGAGAGTGAAATTAAAGCCCTGAAACATTCCTTACACCACACATTTGCTATCAAAGATCTTGGGAGATTAAAGTACTTTCCTAGCATTGAGATGACCATCTCTCACGAAGGGTTATTTCTTGGTCAAAGAAAGTACATGGTTGATTTACTCACTGAGGCTAGTCTCATTGATTGCAAGCCTGCCATCACACCTATTGACAGCAAAATGAAACCCAACTTGACTGGAAAACCTCTCACCAATATAAGCTATTACCAAAGGTTGGTGGGCAAACTTTTCTATGTCACTATCACACGCCCATACATTACTGATGCTGTTAGCTTAGTCAACCAGTTTATGCATGCTCTCACAATGCAACATTTTCAACTTGTCAAACGCATCTTGTGTTATCTCAAAGCCTCATTGGACATAGGCATTCTTATGTCAAACAATCAGTCCACAAAAATCAGTGCCTACGCAGATGCAGACTGGGCATGTAGTATAATTGATAGAAAATCTACCATTGGATATTGCACTTTCGTTGAAGGAAACCTTGTGACATGGAAAGTAAGAAACAACAGGTTATTGCTGGATCTAGTGTTGAAGCGAAGTATCGAGCAATGGCAGCTACTACATGTGAATTAATTTGGCTTAAAAGTCTTGTTTCAGACTTAGGTTTGCTTCATCAAGCTCTTATGTCTCTTATGTGTGATAACCAGGTTGCCATGCACATTGCAGCCAATCCTGTTTTTCTTGAAAGAACCAAGCACATCGAGGTGGATTACCATTTCATCCAAGCTCTGAAGGAAAATTTGTGAAAAACATGTTCATTTAAGCAACATCAATAGCATGCAATTAACAATTAAAGGCGGAATCATGCTTGTATGCACTTAAAACAAAACATTTACCCATGAAATTCAAAGCCTAGTAGATAGGTGAACCAAGACTCAACTCAAAACAAAGTGAGTTGAGAAATCAATACCTTTGTAGATTCCTCTTTGCATAAGCAAAGGCTAATCACCCAAAGAGAGGGCCTTCATTCCTTCCATCTTAGATCCATGGATTTGGATGGATGAAAAGGTTTCTCCAAGTTCCCAAAATTGAGAACCTCTAAGTCTCCACACCAAGGTATATTGTAGAAGAAATGAGTGACCTTGAGGAAGTAAGATTGCTAGATGTTATCCTCAAGGTGGCCGGCCATTTCTAGAGAGAAAGGAGAGTTTGTGTTTCTCCAATTTCCCCAAAAACAACCCTTAATGAATTTTGGCTATTAAGTCACACTTATACCTTAATTCATTTGAGTGGCAAACTTGTAAATAAGTCAAAACCCACTCTTTCTCTAACATGGCCGGCCTTAGGGATTTATTGGGCTATTTGGGCCTTTGTGAATCATTATTCATTAAGTTGTCATACAACTTAAGTCAATGGACTTGACGTTCGAAACCCATTGGGCCTTAAGGTCCAAAACTATCCCGAGGTCTTTTAACGAACTTATTCGTTTGATTAATAATCATATTAATTAATCCTTGCCATAAATAATTAAACCATTTAATTATTCTTACTCATCTCCATTGAATCTTCAATCTCTACCTTACACGGTGTACGATCCATTAGGTTCCTTTTAGCGAGGCAGTGGGCGATTCAAACTCTTTCAAATCGATTGTGAATTGAAACTTACTTTCAATTCTCCCGTTAGTGATAATACACTTTTAGGGCTTCCACAAACCATGGTTGACGCCTAGCAGCATGTCATGGTTACCCAAGCTAATCAGAAGAGGTGGAGAACCTATTCAGTTTTAGGATTACAAATGCAATACGGTCTTTCTCTAATACAATACTCTTGACCACATTGTTTGGTTTGATAGTTTATTCATGTCTACTATCCAATGTGAATCTTGTACTTATATGATTACCTTGAATGTGATCTGGAACGCATTCCAACATCTCATTCATACTCTGGCCAGAGATTCTAAATCATATGATAGAGTATTCTCCCTCAAACAGTTTGAAGGTTAGAGATCCCTTGTTGCGCATTCACTTGCCTCCATGGCTAAGTGGCTTAACCCCAACGATGCCGTGGACACCCTGATAGAGTGACTTTGACATAATCAAAGATTAAGGACCTAACCACAAGACAACTGTGATGCCTCAGGTCAAAAGACTAATTTGCATTATCCCAACCATGAGTTCTCATGTGACATGAATATGAGAACTCTTCGTTGATCGTGTTCAGTGAACTCATTCTCTATTGAGCACCTACGTACTTGTCTTGATGTCACACACACCAATGACTCGAGACTAGTCACTCTCCCTGAGAGAAGACATAGCACGTACTGATCTTAACGGATTGTCAATGCCCAATTGACAATCCTATGATCAGGAACGTTTAGGATGTGTCAACGAAAGAATGGTCTCATGAATCTAACTTCTTTAGATCGCATTCTTCCAATCACATATTCCTTGGACTTATCGTTTAAGCATATAACATTTATATGAGACGGCTCAAACAATAATCTTTGCCCTTTGCATTTAAACTACATTAGTTTGAAATGTCCGTAAAGTATCATCATATGATTGGTTTTAGGGCACATTTCCAACAAGCTCAAGTTCAGAAAGAAGTCATTCAAACTCAATTCACTCGGAGCATGGCCAATTAGTTGACTTGTTCACCAAGGCTCTACCCTCTCACCAGTTTCCCCAGCTTCTGAGCAAGCTTGGCTCGACTACACTCCACGATCCAGCTTGAGAGGAAGTGTTGGAACCAGTCACTAAACCCTAGCATGTTACCTCGCATCACAAGTCTCCAAGTAATCATGGATACACAAAGTTAACCGCCAGCTTTGCTTTCCTGCTTTCCAGCTTTCTCTTCTCTTTGATTCAAGGAACTTAACTTACTGGTTACATCTTAGTCTTGAGTTTGATGTAAATCACCTTGAATTAAGGAAAAACTTGTATCCTAGGTTTACCTGGTCTCTAGGGTTTCATGTAAAGATGGTTGCTTGTAACCATTCATTTTTCTTGATTGCATATACTGCCATGTACATTCAGAACTTTTCATGAAATTGAAATACTTTGAAACTAGATTCCACAATGTCTTGTATTGGAAATAGGATTGATGAAATCCTTCATAGAATATGATTATGATACTTGACTTGGAGGTTAAGAAAGTACGTAAGTTTAGGTTTCCTTTATGGATGGAAACCCTAGCTTTTGGCATATATAAAAACACCGGTCCCAATAAGCCCTAGAACACACAACATAATGTTTCCCATAGAGTAGTTGTATTTGGCTAGGTGTTTATAGAAGATCCTGGTGTTGCCGTACCCTTCACTCTCCTTGCTCGAGTACCATGATTACAACGGGAATCAGGTTTGCCACTCATTCATTTGTGTTTTAATTGTATAACCTATTTTGGCTAACAGTTGGTATCAGAGAGACTAGTTATATAATTAAAACCTATTAAGTTCGACGATACGTATAGTCGTTTTACAAAATACATAAACTGAATTTTGGTCTTAAATTCAAGTGTGATTCCATATCATTGGCATACTAATATGATATGTGCAGACATATTCTATGACCAGCTCCTTATGAGCCTAAATTCAAGTGTTAGTTAAATATTAAAAATCAAAGATGGATGTCGGTTAAAGAGCAGAGGCCGACGGGGCTTACGATTTTGTCTACCCCATTTGGTCGGTGCATGCCTACCCAAACCTTCGGAGAACAGAAGCTGGCTTGTTAGTAAGTAAAGCCATCGTCGCTCTAATAAAGCCAATGAACCATGCTAAGACACAGAGACATCATCGTCCAATGGAAGACAAGTCATAAACATCACCTACCAAGGCACGTGCAGCCTTGCAGGGAATCATATCTTATCTCCTTGTGAAAGATGCACTCGACTTGCAGGGAATCTCATCTCCTTGAAATCACATATTATGCTTTCAAATATATTACATATAAACTGGTAAACTAATCTTGTTGAATGGTAAGATTTTCAAGCATTTCTGTTAACTACATTGAAATACCATGTTAACCTATGAATCTATGAAAGATTGAAGAAAGAAACAATGGCAGAAAGATGAACAACGAAAGAAGATGAAGGAAATGCTCTCTGTATTTATCACAATAGTCGAATACAACTTAATAGAAAATGATCTCTACAACTTCCTTTTTATAGTCATTAGGCTTATTGCAAAACCCAAATACCCTCACTAACAACCTCTAACTAACTCAATCATATGGTTATTACTCCCCCCTCAAACTAAACTTGGAGTATTCAAGTGACGTTTAAACTAGCCAGGTATTTGAGATTGATCTGGAACTGCGAGAGCAAGATATCTGCCATGCTTCAAGAATTAACCTGCTGCAAACAAGAAAGCACCCACTGACACCTTTGTAACTGTTGACCAAAACCTCTACTCACCCCATTATTATCACACAAGGCTACAACTTTTGTCAGTTGGTGAAACCATGATGAAAGCCACAAGTACAATCTAGCTTTATCGTTAACATACCCAACAGATTTTCGACTTTGAACTGAGAAGCCATAGTAACACACTCACTGTATATGCAAATTACCCTTCCTAAATCTTTATAGAGATTGGCACTAAATCAACCAAGGAGAATGACACTCCAAGAACCCAAATCAACCAAGGAGAATGGCACTCCAAGAAACAAATCAACCAAGGAGATTGACACTTCTGATATCTTCCTAAATCTTCCCAGACACCAAAATTAACCAAGGAGAATGACACTCCAAGAAATCAACATTATAGGCTATTATAAGCTTCTGAACAATTCAAATCCAATAAAGAGACAGTAGAATTTTAGTGAGGCAGAGAGACAAAATTGGACACCATAAAAATTGCACAAGTTCATAGTTTGAAAATCTAGCCAACCAAATGAAGTCCATGACAAACATTGATCTTGAAGCAATGAAGAATCTTGAACCCAAATATCATAAACAACTTGAAGAACCCAGAAAAGACGAACTAGAAAGATGATTTCATGCTTTTAAATCTCAACGTCTCAACTTAAATGGCTTCTTTCCCATAACAGAGACTAATTGATTTACGCAATACTAAAAAGAATCAAAGCAAGTAACTAAGAAACTTAACCATCACATAAAACTTTTGAGCTGGACATTTCGTTAAACACTTAGGCTGCACATAGGTTAAAACTTTCATAAATCGATGACCCAGATGTGATCCTTCGAGAATTACAACATACCAAATAGAGATTGAGGTATGGATTTTATTAACAACTAATATACCCTCTGATGTCAACTAATCCATGTGATCATTTTCACCCAACAACTTTGCGGCAGTTACCCAGATGAGCAACACGCACACTTACCTTTCATCAGCAAGAGAACATAAAGAAGAAGCAGTGAATCAACTAGTGCAAAGAAAGCAAACTCTACTCTTAGTTGCATAAACCTAAACCAGAGTGGACCCAAGCCATTGAAGACCTTGATGAAAATATGAAAAATCCCCAATTCAAGAACCAAAAATCATTGAACCATGACTGCGAAGGCTCTCTCGTAGCGCAACAACATCGTTGCAAACTGGCGAACATAACGGAGCATCGAAAATCAACCCAAGAAGAATCGCAATTGCGATCCTAACAATCACAGAAAAATCAACCTAGAACAATCGCGTGAAGCACTGAAAATCTAATGGAAATTTGAAGAGAAACTAAACTAGGAAGGAAAAGAAAATGTAAACTACTTCGAAGAAAAACCACCAGAATCCATGGTGTGAGCTTGGTGGCTCTGATACCATGTTAACTACATTGAAATACCATGTTAACCTATGAA